TCCGGCTAGGTCCCTGGTGGGGAGCATGCTGGAGGTGGATGATCCATGTTTCACTCTTGCATTGATATTTCTCTCTCTAAAAATCAATTTTTAACCCCTTCCCCAACAATTTTTTTGTTAAAAACGTTTCTTTTTCAGACTAATTTTTTTATTTTGGTTCTATATAGTATTTTTGATGCTGGTTATGAAAACAGTTTGTAACTCGTCTTCCTATAAACCATATTTTCTTACCATATTTTCTTAGTATACTCGTCGACGACTGAAAAAGAACATTTTGTGAAAACGAGTATACACGTTTCTGCCGGGGAAGGGGTTAAAAATCTTAAAATATACACATATGCTTTTTATTTTTAAAGCAGTTTTGAGTTCACAGCAAAACTATGCAGACATTAGAGATTTCTCATATATAGCCAGCCCCCCCTGCCCCCCGCCCTGCCCCTGGCTAACAAAACCACCACAGAGTGGTGCATTTGTTACAACTGATGAACATCCACTGACATATCATAACCACCTGAAGTCTATAGTTTACAAAAGGGTTCATGCTTAGTGTTTCACATTCTAAGGGTTTGGACAAATGTATGGCATATATCCGCCATCATAATGTCAGACAGAATCGTTTCCTTGCCCTAAAAATCCTGTGATCTGCCTATTCATCCCTCCCTCTTCCTAACCGCCCCTCCATCTTTTTACCACCAACATGGTTTTTGCCTTTTCCAGAATGTTATATTGTTGAAATACAGTACAGAGTCTTTTCAAATTGGCTTCCCTCATTTAGTAATGTGTGTTATGTTTCCTCCAGGTATTTTCATGGCCTGATAGCTCATTTCTTTTTAGCACTGAATATTTCTTTGTCTGGATGTACCACAGTTTTTCCTTTCACTTACTCAAGGACATCTTAGTTGCTTCCAAGTTTTGGCAATTAAAAAGCTGCTATAAACATCTGTATGCAGGTTTTAGCGAGGACATAAGTTTCAACTCATTTGAGTAAAATTCCAAGAAGTGTGATTGTTGAATCATATGGCAAGAGTATGTTTAGTCTTGTTAGAAACTGCCAAACTGTCTTTTAAAGTGGCCGTACCATTTTGCATTCCCACCAGCAATGAACAGGGAGTTCCTATTGCTCCATACCCTCACTAGTATTTGCTGTTGTCAATATTTGGGGTTTTGGCCATTCTAATATGTGTGTAGTGGTATCTCGTTTTAATTTGTAATTCTCTAATGACATTTGATGTCAAGCATCTTTTCATATGTTTATTTGCTAACTGTGTATTTTCTTTGGTGTGAGAGGCAGTTGACAAAAACATCTGTCTGTTGAGGTCATTTGCCCAGTTTTTAAAAAGGTTTCCTTATTACTGAGTTGTTATTTTTTAATCTTATCCAAGAATATCTGTTGATTTTAGAAAGGAAGGGAGAGAGAAACATCAATTGGTTGCCTACACCACATACCCCAAACCAGGAATCAAATCCACAACCAAGACATGTGCCCTGACTGGGAATTGAACCTGCAACCTTTTGGTATATGGGACAACGTTCCAATCAACTGAACCACCCTGGCCAGGCAAAAACCATGTTGATGGTAAAAAGATGGAGGGGCAGTTAGGAAGAGGGAGGTATGAATAGGCAGATCACAGGATTTTTAGGGCAAGGAAACTATTCTGTCTGACATTATGATGGCAGATACATGCCACACATTTGCCCAAACCCTTAGAATGTGAAACACTAAGCATTATTATTGTGGGTTGTTTTTTTAATTTTTTAAAATTGATTTTTAGAGAGAGAGGGAGAGAGCTAGATAGAAATATTGATGAAACATTGATTGGGAGAGGAACAAGTGTGATAGCATAATAGTGAAACATCAATCGGTCACCCCTGAATGCCCTGCACTGGAGTCAAGCACAAAACCTAAGCATGTGCCCTAACTGGGAACCGAATCAGCAACCTCCCTGTGCATGGGACAACACCCAACAGAGGCACTCCAGCCAGGATTTATTGAGTTTTAAGAACTCTCTGTATATTTTGGATAAGAGTGTTACCAGATATATTTTTTGCAAATATTTTCACCCAGTCTGTGGCTTACCTTTTCATTCTCTTGATTTTCCTAATTATTTAAAGAAAGAATTAAGTATAGACAGGAAGTCACTAAGAAACTCAGATATAGAGCCACAAAAAGAGAGAGAGTAGGGTCGTCCTCAATCACTAAGAAATCTTCAGGCACAGATTTTACTGTTTTCAATATAAAGAGCTAGTCATTTGGAAAACATCTTCCCAGCCCCGGCTAGATAGCTCAGTTGGTTAGAGAATTGTCCTGATACACCAAGTTTGTCAGTTCGGTCCCAGGTCAGGGCACATACAGGAGTCATTTAATGAATGCATGAATAAGTGGAACAACAAATTAATGTTTCTCTCTTAAATTAATAAAAAAAGAAAATGTGTTCCTTTTTGAACACGCAACCTTCTGATCTGGAGTCAGACGCGCTACCGTTGCGCCACGTGTTCCTTTTTTATACCATTCAACAAAATGCTGCCCAAGTAGGGACTGTAGCACTTTATAGAAATTAGGTTCTTTCTAGAATGAGTTCAAAAAGCACTGCATCATTTAAAAACATAATTTCTAAATAAATAGAAAGGATGTAGTGATGCAGCAAGCAACCAGGGTGCTTTGGGAAGGTATTTTTAAGGATTATAGACATGGCGAAGACCGTGCAGAAAAGAGAAAGCATTAGAAAATGGGGAGGGGCTGGGCCAGTGTGGCTCAGTGGTTGAGCATCTAGCTATGAACCAGGAGGTCACCATTTAATTCCCGGTCAGGGCACATGCCCAGGTTGTGAGTTTGGTCCCCAGGAGGTAGCTGATCAATGATTCTCTCTCATCACTGATGTTTCTATCTCTCTCTCCATCTTCTTTCCTCTCTGAAATCAGTAAAAATGTTAAAAAGAAAGAAAAAAAGAAAAAGGGGAAGGAAGCTGGCTCTCACATAGACTAATAAAAATGGTCTGAGGGGAAAAGAGATTCAAAAAAACAAGACAAACTCTAGCCGGTTTGGCTCAGTGGAGAGAGCATTGGCCCGTGTTTGATTATGGTCAAGGGCAGGCACATTGGTTGCAGGCTTGATCTCTGGCCTGGTCAGGGGCAGTGAGGGAGGCAGTCAATTGATGTCTCTCTCTAACATAGATGTTTCTCTGTTTCTCCCCTTCCCTTCCACTCTCTCTAAAAATCATTGGAAAAATATCCTCGGGTGAGGATTAACAACAACAACAAAACAGACAAAGCACACACCCACACACAAGTGTTTCATTTGTCCCAGAAGTAAGACCGTTAGTGTCTCTTCCAAGAAATCTTACTACCCAGGTCTCAGTGAAATTACCTGGCTCCTAATATTAGAGCTGTACCTTGAATGGCGAGTAATAAGTTAACAATCCTAACAAGTGTTGTGGTTCTCTGAAGGAAAAAACAATATGAATATACTGACATTACTTCAAACACAACTCTACATTTATACAAATTTGTTTTCTTTTCCCACGTGGTGACCCAATCATTTCATATTAAGACCAGAAAACAAAGCAAGAAAACCAGGAATAAAAAGTGAAGAAATTTTGTATTATATGCTAGTATTTTTTTTTATTATATAAGAGAAAATAAGTATTAAGAAATCTAACTTCCAAAGAGAAACTCAAACTCAAACTCTGATTCTTTTAAAGAGAATCAGAAAAATGACAGAGCGACCCGTGCTCCAATTTGTTTGATTCAGTGGTTTCAAAGTTCCAGGTCTTCCTCTGGCCTTGTGAGCCGCACTCCACCAGAAGCCAGAGTGCATGAGGACAACCATCCCAGGGCTCCTCAATCTCTGCTCTGGACAAACTGACAATTTGCTTGGATTTCTTCTTGTAATGAGTTTTAAGCTAAAATTTCTCTTCTTACACATTGTCATATAAAATGGAAATTTCTGCTCCACCCCCTTCCTGTCATCACAGCAAAAAAATAAATACAAATTTGAAAAGGTTAACTAAAACTGGCTTTTTAAACCCAGTTAAAGCAAGATAAGACTGAAGAGACTGGAAAATTTTTAGACGGGGAAGATAAACACAAAAAATAGAGCTTCCCCAAAACACTGAAACCCTCAGGCATGGTGACAACTTTCTAAACTGAAATGTCTGGACTTTGGCAGAAGTGTCATGTTTTCCAAAGCCAACTTCTGGAAATCTTAACCTAGATTCACAAAAATTCCTAACAAAATGAGCCAACAGCCAGGAAAAGGTTACTGAGCACGGAAAATGAGTGATTCCATTCACAAACATATATCCGCAGGGAGAAAGGTTCAAGAAAAACTCACACCCCATCACAAATCTTCCTGGATGTTGAATTTCACCTGTTTGAGTTCTTAATTTTAAAAACGAAACTTACTAAAACTGAAATATACAGAAAAAACTTATCTGGCCTCTCTCAGGAGGCCAAGCGAGAGCTAACCACCCCTTTCAACGCCAGCTTAAGTCGTAGTCTCATAAACTCAAATCCCAGAGATTAGGTCAGCAAGCGCCTGACTATACCACCAGCTAGTTTACTACGTGTCTTTCACACTTGCCAGCAGTAGCAATATCTTGAAAAACTTGGCCTCACAGGCCTTTATATTACCTTTCCCAGTTTTGCCCAAGTAAAGTAACTCTACTTTAAGGAACCTGCAATGACTTTGCTCATTATCACTTCAGGTGCTAGAAATGGGAACTGCTTAGTAAGCAGAGCTTCTGGTGTAATTGCTACTTCTGCAGTTTCCATAGCTCCTGTTGGCTTTGCAGGCTTTTTAAGATTCCCCCATATTCACCCACCCCATCTAAGGCCCAGTGGTTCTCAACCTGTGGGTCGCGACCCCTGAAAATACATCCTGCATATCAGATATTTACATTACGATTCATAACAGTAGCAAAATTACAGTCATGAAGTAGCAACGAAAATAATTTCATGGTTGGGGGTCACCACAACATGAAGAACTGTATTAAAGGGTCGCGGCATTAGGAAGGTTGAGAACCATGGACGCAGTAGCAGTATCACCCCAATTTGTTTTACAAAGGCAACATGGCAATTTCCAGCTGATACTTAGAATGGAACTTGCTTCTTGGTAATACCAGGTTTAAAATGGAAAAAACAGGGAAGAAGGTATCTTATTCTACTGGGTGGGCGAAAGGGAAAAGAGCAACACAAAAATCCCTTCAGTCTATTGATCCTACATGAGTCACAGCCAAATTCTGAAGCCTAATAATTCCTCTAATCAGCTTATATCCTGGTTGTCCAGTCACAGGAAGAACAGGTTCTCGCAGAGCTGGATGGCTGGTTCATGATGCAAGATTTGACCTGACAGGAAAGCTAGCTTGTGGGCATACTTGCAAGGAGCTGGAACTCTGATGGTACCAGGCCAATTCCAGTACATGTGGCACAGTTTGAAAGTCAACCTGCAGCCCAAGAAAAAAATATTATCCTTATTATTTTCCACCTTCATTCTGGAATGTGATTATGTGCTTATGGGTGTATACTTTACAGCAAACTGGGGAACTAAGGAATACATCATGTATCTTTTTAAAATTTTTTTTTTACATGAGCCAACTTTTGGGAATCAGTTTTTAAACTGAATTTTTAAAGTTGATTTTATAGAGAGAGATACATCTATTTGCTGTTCCATTTATTTATGCATTCATTGGTTGATTCTTGTTATGTGCCCTGATCAAACCTGTAACCTTGGTGTATTAGGACAATGTTCTAACCAACTGAACTACCCAGCCAGGGCTGGGAATCATTATTTTAAGTGGAATTGTTTCTATTTCCACCATTTGTAAGTCAAGAGGACATGGATGAATTTCCTCACGTTAGGTGCCCCTGTTTTTATATCAAAACAAGAAAAACAAGGGTAGTTTTTTTTTGGCTGCAGAAGTTTAAGTACTCCAGCAAAATATTTATATAATCTGAGCTTAAGGATTTGGGATATCAATTAGCTGCACCTCATTACTCATCAAAGAGCAGTTTAAAAGATATAAATGCCTCAGACTGCTTAGGGGTGAAGCCCAGGCATCAGTATTTTTTAAGCTCTTCAAGTAAATCTAATGAACAACAGGATTACAAACCACTCCTCAAAAAGATACCATTATCATGAAAGACATGAAGAAACTCAAGGGGTAAATATTACTGGGGTTGGGCAAAGACTTTACCTTAGCTAGCCAGTCAGAGTGAGAAAGAGTAAGTTACTGGTCAGCTCACCTCTGCATATGATCGGGGCTCAGGTTTGCAGTGTTGAGAACACACACATAATGTGTAGGAATGCCACAACCCTGCCGGACATGATGGGCAAGAAGGTAGAAGTCCACCCTAGTAAGGAAAAAAGACAAAGCAATGATATGGTTAGATTTGACCAAAAAGAGATGGAAAAGATCTTGGAGCTCTTTGTAGCTCCTGCACCTAAAGCTTAGAGGTCAAATAACGGGTTCAAGGACACACAGGGACCAAACCATAATTAGAACTTGTGTTTCCTGACTCAACAGCCTATTCAAGAATCATGGTAGAAACTAGCATTCTGTGTGCAGAACATTAACCATGCATGATCTTTTTTTATAAAAATAAAAATCTTTTTGTTGAAAATATGACATACTGGTATGTCCCCCTTTTCCCCAAAGCATGCATGATCTTAAGAAAAGAATGTATGTTCAATAGTTTATACCTAAGAGGCAAAAACTTTATTGTTGGTTTGTTTTTTTCTAATAGTTTTTTTAAAGCTTTATTTTTTTAAAAGATGGAAACATGTATTTAGCATTTTTTTCTAATTACAGTTTACATTCAGTATTATTTTGTATTAGTTTCAGATGTACAGCATAGTAGACAGTCATATACTTTACAAAGTGTTCCCCCTGATATTTCCAGTATCCACCTGGCCCCATACATTGTTACTATAATAAAATTATACATTTCTTGTGCTGTACTTTACATCCCCATTAAATCTTTATTTTTTTAACAGTAAAATCTGAGGATTCCATTCCACATCTTCCCAGGCAACCTACCTATTCCAATACCCAGGGAATGGACAACTTCTGCAACATATTCTTGCTGAAATGTCATTTTTGTGTCCACTTACCACTCACAGGCTGTGATTGTATGATCCACCACAGTCCCAGGGGAGGGAGTTGCAAAGTGCTCAGTAGCAGCCAGGTACAGATTGGTGCTGATTTTCTTCTGAACTACAAATACCACCATCTTGGGCTGATAATTCTCAAAAGCCTCAAAACACTTCTGCAGCTGAGGAATCTCATAATTGGCAACTGTCTTTAGCTGGCCGTCAGACACCCCATCCCGGTACACCACAATCTTCTCTGGGAGACAGTGGTTCACCTGAAATGACACCTACTGAGATGAGTGTGGAGCCCTGAGACTAATGACCAGGCAGAGAGAGGCTTGCTCAGTGTACACACAGCCTGGAGAAGCAGCAGTCATTTCTACACTTCGACTGGGCAGTAAACAGGTCTGGTACAGAAAAGGCATTACAAAATACAAAAACAAAACAAGTACACATACATAAGGCTCATACTCAGTGTGAATAACGTTAGAAGGAAGGAAGGAAAATTTGGGGCTGAGTCAATCTCCTACTACACTAATTACTGTTTAGGCTAAGAACAAGGTGAGCTGTTAGAGAAATTCCAACATAGACCACACATCCTACAGATCCACCATCCTCACATTTTTATGTACCAGCAACATCCAAAGTTGCTAACAAGCAAAAGGGTCCTTTGCTAAATATCACCCTACAATCAGTTATAATGTGAAACAGTTTTACTATAACTAAGTAATTAGCAAAAAGTCATGGTAAATTGTCCATGGATCCAAATAAAATTAAATGCTGGCTTAAATAGTTTGAAGAATTTTTTTTCCATTCAGAGAATATAATTATGTTCTAGTCATGTCTGACTTTAACAGTTCAAAAGAACAGGCTGTTCCATTTTAAACTACGAGTTCTCTGAGAAGTACTGTAGTTTAATTCAGTCAGTAAGTGTCAGTTTGATTCTGAGTGTGGTTCATTGTAGGATTTTGTTCACAATTCCCATCAAAAACCTAAATTATCACCCTGCAGGTGTGGCTCAGTGGTTGAGCAATGACCTATGAACCAGGAGGTCATGGTTCGATTTCCCATCAGGGCACAGCCTGGGTTGTGGGCTCAGTCCTCAGTGTGGGGAGTACAGGAGGCAGCCGATCAATGATTCTCTCTCATCACTAATGTTTTTATCTCTCCCTCTTCCTTTCTCTCTGAAATCAATAAAAATATACTTAAAAATAAATAAAAAACCCTAAATTATCACTGAATTAAATAGGTACATACTATACATTCTTGATAGGTTGCTCTACATGAAAATTTACAATTTCAATGACCCCTTTTAAACATAATCACCTAGAACCTTGTTAGAGCCTAAATTCAGATTTCAAATATTTTATGAATGCTCTTTTTTACTGAGCCACCGCAAGTAGTACACTTACAAACATGTAATTCATCTTCGTATTCCAAGACTGGAATTACTGCCCCAGTCTGTAGCACTTTTTTGTGTGTGTGCTGCTTTTGGCCACCTAGCATCTAGTCCACCTTTTGGGGAAAGAGGATTTAGTTTCCTTCTGCCTCCAATATGACAGTCGGTGGGACTATTAATCAAGGTGCCTTCCCCTAATCAAATCCAGGCTTCTCAGCATTATTGACAAGTAGGACTGGCTAATTCTTTCTTGTTGAGGGCTGACAATATAGGATACTTAGCAGCATTCCTGGCCTCTACCCACTAGATGCCAGTAGCAATCTCCCCAGTTATAACCCAAAATGTCACTGCACTAACCAAAGGACACAGAGAGGATTCAAGCCATGCCAAAAGAATACTCCTCCCTTGCTCTGAGTCTTGAGTAGAGACTGAAAATCACTTGCTCCTTCCATGGCAATGCCTCTTCAGGTCCTTGCTTCTGGAACTCTAGGAGCTACCTGGCTCCTGTCTATTTCCCACCGTGATGCTCAACCTTCTCACGATTCCTCTGAGACTCCCCATGATCTTACCAATTATGTGAAAGTTAGCACATTTCTGTGACTTCCCAAAAACCCCTGAGACACTGTGTTAATAGGTGGCTATCACAGGCACTTAGATCTAGAAAAAGCCCTTATGTCACAGATGAGGAGAGAGACAGGAAGTACACTGGATCTGGGGCCAGTTGACTTGGGACTGAGTCTGACTTTACTGCTGTTCAGCTATGTGTTTCCTTAGTTGAAAAATGGAGATAAATGACTACCTTCTTCTTGGGGTTGTTAAGAGAAATAAAGTAAAATCTAATCTAGTAAAAGAGAAACATGCAAATTGACCGTACTTTCACCATGCCCCAAACCACACCCACCAGCTAATCAGGGTGACTATATGCAAATTAACCCAACCAAGATGGCGGCCGGCAGTCACGGAGCTGGAGCAAGCAGAAGGCTCAGTTGCCCTGGCGATGGAGGAAGCCAAGCTTCCTGCCTGCCCTGGCCAGCTGTGGCCTCTGCTAAAGGCAACAAAGTTTCAATTATAGAAGACAAATAAATC